AAAAAAAAAAAAAAAAAGAAGCTAGTAGGCAGCACAATTTCCAGGATGGGGGCCCACCTTGCCTGGCTTGAAGTGTCAGGCCTACCTGGGTATTCGTGGTCTCACTTCACCCTTGTTTCCAGCTCTTATCCAAGCTAACGTCCTGGTTTTTGTGATTTACAGGAAAAATATATTTGGTCATTCAGAAGACCAAAATATATTTCTCACATATAATTGGTCTCAGATTGCCAGATCACCCATTGTTTACATCTTGCTTCTTGGAATTTCCTGAGTGGGAACATCTTTTGTCATAATATTTGGTCTCTCGTCTTCAGTTCCTGCAAGTCCTTCAGAACTGTAAAGGTGAAATGGGCGTCGTGTTGTTTGTAACAAGCCCCTTTTCCACCACAACTGGGTTTATGTTAATGAAGTGACTTTTGGAAGGCATCTAAGAAAGGGAGCTGGTTGCCAGGGGAAGCAGCCATGTAATTAGAGGGTTGGAATTTTCAGTTCCACCCTCTCATTTCCGGCGAGGGGAGAGAGACTGGAGGTTGAATCAATCACCAATGTCCAATGATTTAATCAACCATGCCTATGTAATAAAGCCTCCATAAAAACCCAAAGGAAGGGGGTTCGGAGAGCTTCCACATGCCACCTTGCTGGACCTCAGACTCCACAAGGACAGGCGCTCGTTTGTTTGGGAAGTTGCCCTGTGTATCTCTTCATCTGGCTGTTGATTCATATCTTTTAATGTCCTTTGCAATAAAGCAGTAATCTAGTGAGTAAACTGGTTTCCTGAGTCTTGTGAGCCACTCTAGCAAATTGATGGAACCCTAGGAGGGGGTCGTGGGAACCTCTGATTTATAGCCAGTTGGTCGGAAGCACAGGTAACAACCTGGGCTTGCGATTCCCATCTGAATTGGTTGGAGTCTTGTGGGACTGAGCCCTTAACCCTTGGGATCTGATGCTATCTCCAGGCTGATGGTGTCAAAATAGAGTTGAATTGTAGGACACCCAGCTGGTGTCAAGAGTATTGCTTGGTGGTGTGG